CACAGCAGTGCATCTATGTTGCAGTTCCACTCTGTGTCCTCGCGACATCACTCAGGGCACGGGGCGATTGCTGACACTTCCCCGCGACGCGTTGTCCTGAGTGAGGGGAAATAATCCGATCGCTGTGAAGTGCTCTTCAAACCGAGTCCGCCCTAGGGCCTTCGTAAATCCGTCTGCTAGCATACCTGAGGTGGGACAGTATTGAAGAACAACTTCTTTGCCACGAGCCGCGTCCTTGATCGAGTGGTAAGTGACATCGACGCTCTTTTGAGCATTGGATCCTTTCTCATTCTTGATGCGAGCAATCGTTGATGTGTTGTCGATCATCATTGGTACCTCCGTGAGCGCAACTCCGGTTATTGCCTTCACGAAAAGAACCGTCCAGCGCAAGTCTTCTAGACCAGAGTCAGCGGCAATGTATTCGGCGACCGTCGATGACTTGGCAGTGAGACGTTGCCGTTTGCATTCCCAATGGACAGCGCAGTTTCGAGCCTGAAGAAGCACTCCAGACACCGATTTCCTGTTCTCGACATTATTTGCCCAGTCCGCGTCAGTATATAACCGTAGCGGAGGCGCAGCCAAGTCACGCTTGAATCGTAGCCCAGTTGCACGCGTCGTCGAGACGTAGCGAAGAATTCTTTTGACGGCGTTCCAGTGCACGACGCTAGGATTACTGGTGTGAGCGGATACTTGGTTCACTGCGTAGGAGATGTCGGGTCTTGTGATTCGGCTCAAATACAATAGGGCTCCCACAGCCTGCCTGTACGGCATGTGAACTGCCAGCTCGTCGTTTACTGCAGCCTTGTAAAGAATGGTACCTTGATCCATTGGCGTTTTCGCCGGCCGACACTCTTCCATTGCGAACCGATGACACATTTCCGTTGCATACTGCTCTTGATCAATTGTCATCACTCCATGTTCCACATCACGGCTGATTCTCATTCCCAAGAACCACGAAAGCTCACCGAGATCCTTGATATCATACTTGTTCTGGAGAGACTTCATTAGCTCATCCATGTCCTCAGTATTCTCATACCCGATGAGGATATCATCTACGTACACGAGTACAATTAGCATTTTGTCAGGATGTGTGTAAACGCATGGGTCTGGAATGGTCGGCACGAATCCAAGCTCTCTCAAGAAAGCATCCAGCTCCGCGTTCCATTCTCTTCCGGCTTGCTTGAGCCCATAGAGGGCTTTACCAAGCAGCCAGACTTGACCGGGGTCACCTTCCTCGAATCCTTTCGGCTGCCTAACATAAATTGTTTCGCTTAGGCCAGCCTTCACGTACGCTGTCGGCACATCTCCTTGCCGCACACGCCAGCATCTGTGGTTGCATTCCGCCAGAAAAACTCGAATAGATGTGAGTTTAACCACTGGGGCATACGTATCAATATAATCGACCAGATAAATTTGGCCACATCCTTGCGCGCAGACACGGGCTCGTGCTCTTGCAATGGAGCCGTCTGCATGGCGCTTTAGGCGAAAGTTTATCATGGACCCGATAACATGGGCGTTGGCCGGGGGAGTCACTAGAGTGAATGTCCCATTGGCACGAAGCGCCTCGATCTCGTCCTCAATTGCCTTTTTCCAAATATTCCAATGCGCTGATTGCTTTGCTTCCTCAACAGTAAGGGGCTCTTCGATAATTTCGCCCAGAACGAGGAGCGCGGCACCAATGTTGCGCTGTTGAATGCGTTTTGATCGTCTTAGAGTTGTTAAGGTTGGTACAGGGGGCCGTGAATGTTCAGCATCAACAGAACTTCCCCGCATTGGGTCGCCAGCCTCGTTCTCATCTTGTCTATGTTCAGTAATTAGTGCACTTGGTAGTGGACGTGAGCTGTCATCACTCTGAATTGAATCCAGATTTTGCAAAGGATCGACTTGTGCACTGGGCGTTGGGGCCTTGACCTGTAGACCAAGAAACGTGACGTCACAGCTGTGGATAACGCGGGCTCCACCTTCACGAATGTAGACGTAGTGGCCCTTGCGTTCATGGTCATGACCAACAAAAATGCCACGTTGTCCATTTGGACGAAACTTGAATTTAGTGCTCCGCTGACTGGGCTTGAGTAGAACAACTACGGACTCACCAAAGGCGTGTAAATCTCCAAAATCAGGTTGCGATCCATAGTACTTGGCGTACGGTGTAGCCGTGGGATCACTCCGTGACAAGACGCGATTTCTCATGTAGACAGCAGCTCTTATCGCATATTCCCAAAGGTTGTGGGGGACGTTTGCTTGTAGGAGAAGACAGCGAGCGACGTCTGCGAGGGTCCGGTTCGTGCGTTCTGCTACGCCGTTTTGATAGTGTACGTCCGGCTCAGAGAATTGACGCTCGATCCCAGCAACAGAACACAATTTGTCGAAAGCTGCACTTGTGAATTCTCCTCCATTGTCCGTGCGAAGTATCTTTATGCGAGCGCCACCGGAGCGAGTCTTGATAATGTTGAGGTAGTCTTGGAAGAATTTCGTCGCTTCACTCTTTTCCTGCAGGAAGTATACGTGCGTGAAACCCATCCACTTGACTGCCATGTAATATCGATGCCCATGAATGCTGCGCTGAAACGGACCGGCCAAGTCTGCGTGGCAAACGGAGTCTTTTTCCTCTTGGGATCGTAGACTTGATCGTGGAGCTGCACGACTATGTGCCTTCCCCAAGGAGCAAATTTCACACGGGAACATCGGCAGCTTCTTGGATCCCTCAATGCGCATATTCTGCACCTGGCTGCTGCGTTCCAGGTCCAGTATGGCTTGGTGATGGAGGTGGCCAAAACGACGATGCCAATCCTCTAGTGAATTCTTTGCAATGACTAGTCCAGCTCCATCTGCAATAGCTGCAAGTCCAGACTGTCTGTGAGCAACACTGTATACACCATGACGGAGACGGCCACGGAAGATCGGTTTGCCGTATACGATGCACTCGGTATCAGTGAAGTCGCATTTGTATCCGGCCTTGGTGAGCTCCGATACAGAGAGTAATGGCTGCGCTAAGGTGGGTACGTGAACCACATCTTGCAGCACAAAATTATCAGGTCCAACGTGTAGCTTACCAGCTTCGCTGCCAACGACAGTTCGTCCGTCAGCAAACTCGACATGGTGTTCATCACAAGTCTCCACGTTCGTCAAGGCAGTGCGGTCACCGGTCATGTGATACGATGCACCGGAGTCGATAATTGGTTCTGGAGCCGCAATTCCAGGGTCATAGGTTTGGTTCTCGGTGCCCGTGGACACCCCGTACCTTCATTTCTCGTCCGAGGGTTGCGCGGCAGCCGCTGCCATTCCAGTAGTTGAGTGCTCGGGCTGGCCACGTTGCTGTTGGGCGACGAATCGATCATGGTAGTTCGTCGTATGCCCGCGCTGGTTGCAGGTCCTGCACAGCGCGTTGCTGAAATCCCAGCGTTGCTTCTTGCTGTTGTTGCTGGAGACGCCGGCATTTGCTGAGCCGGTGCGGGAACCAGATCCCGTATCGTAGTGCCGCTTCCTCATGCGTCCGTCGTTGCCTGCCAAGCGACTCAGCAG